TCAGTGGGAGGTCATTCCAGAGAGAGGGACCAGCAACGGAAAAGGCTCGATCCCCTCTGAGTTTCCGTTTAGTTCTTGGTACTTCTAATAATGTCTGGTCCGCAGACCTGAGGTGTTCTAGACAAGAACAATGACACAGCTGCACTCTGAGCATAGCAATGCTGGTGTTTGAGTTTGCTTGAGATTGTGTTTGGAAAAAAAAAAGAATATTTTCTCTGCTGATGACAGCGTACAGAGCAGTGCAGTCATGAAATTATGGCATGGATGACCTTTTCCACGCGTAAAATGTGAGAGGCCGCGCACATGATGAGGAAAAATTTGTCATGTGTGTGCTTATTGCTATAATGATTTCTGGAGTCGAGCCAAGATTGATCTGTGAGAAAGCAAGGTTTCCCCAAGGGTACCCAGGCTGACAGAAAATATCAAAAAGGAAGACTACATTCGAAGAAGCTGGGCCAATTGTGATATTGTCCCACAACTAAATTGTCGATGTCTCGGACTGGGCGAGATGTGACATGACAAGTCCATCATCGACCACACTCAGTCATCGTATGCTCCCGTCAAGATTCAGGCACAGGTCCGTTAAATCATCCGAGCAAATTTTGGTGGTTCAGGTTAACATTGTTTTAGCTTGGCAATTCTCTCTCTTTCTCTCTATTACTGCGAGTAATCTCTTTGTGAGAATGTCACTCAAAAGAAGTGTAGCTTACTCTTAGCCATGGAGGCTGTGATGACTGTCTTTGTCGCAAAAATGCAACATGTTTAGCCACAGTAGTGGAAAGACGAAACTGTTTGCTTGCTATCTGCTGCGGTGTAAGTAGCGCAGATCTTGCCTTGACCTGCCAACCACCCACGCAGAAGTGACGTTCGCGCATTACAGCAAGCACATCCAGCCTAGTGAAGATTTGTGGGACCCTTTCCGCCATTTAGTTATCGGAAAAACTTGTCAATTCTGCTATTGATTGTGTTTTGTTGAGGCGCAAAACACAAATTTAGACTTGCAAACTGCTATGTGACACCACTTCTTTCGAGCCTTGTGAATAGTTTGAAGGAGTTGGAATTCCAAGCATTTGTTGTAAATACAGTAATGCCTCGTCACTTCACGCTCCAAGTTTTGCAGCTTCAGTGTTTTGCCTCCCCCCCCACCCCCGCTCCAAATTCATTCAATAAATAAATATTTTAAATTTGTAGCCATATTGCAGGAAGACATATTGCTTCATGTTGATGCATGAGAGAGAAGGTTTCCCTGCATGCCCAACAGCTGACGTGACTCAGAGACATTGTACATAGCTGTAACAAGGCGCTTTGATCATTTCCCGGCGCAACATCGACCACGGATTTATTTCGTGAGCTGATTGGCTGCGCATCATCGCAGCTGTACCCAGCACCTTCTGTTGTTGTGTTCCGTCATGCTGTTGACTGTCTCGCATACTGGAACTTCGTGTTGTGTTCGCAATAACTTTTTTTTTTTTAAGCGATAACTTTTTTGGATTAGTTAAACTGCACTCCAATCCCTTGCCGCCGTCGAAGTAATGCTTGTCCCACCACGGAGATGGCACCATTAACAGGGGCACATTGCTTCAAACAGTGGCTCCAATTCCTCACCTTCACCATGAACGCCTCAATCAGAAGAGTCTCCATGCGAGCCTAAAGCCTGTACAAGTCAAGTGAGAACCACCTTCTACACCACCAACACAAGCCTCTTTGTCTCTCTCAGAAGGCAACGATGATGAATGTTAAGTATTATATCAGGTTTTACAATTAAAGATTTAATTAAATACATGTACTGTTGTAATCTTCATCACAAATATGTATATAAATACTGTTTACATATTTTAAATAAGCTGGTACCCACAAACACAAACACAAAAATTCCAAGGGGGGGTGGGGTCAAATCCTATTTGGCGGTTGTTTACTTTTCGCTGGGGGCTCTGGTCCCCATTAACCATGAAAAATTAGGGATTACTGTGGTTATTAATCTTTACGGTTTTGTTGTTGTTAGTTAATTCTTCCCCAACATAGTAGTATCCGTGACGTGCATTCACTTATTATTATTATTTTTTTTTTGTTTTCATTAACTTACACCTTAGCTTTGTCATGTATGGTAGATTAACACGTCCATGGTTTGTCGTTCGGTTTATCACATAATGGCACCTGTGTGGAACAAGCTTCGTAAATCAAAGTTTATGTCCATCAAATCAAGCCGCCGCTGTCGTGCGTATAATTGCCATAATTTGCTGTAAGAAAGTAAATCACATAAAAGAAGACAAGTGATGATTTGGAGAAAAATGGCAAGATAAAAAAAACATCATGTCACCATTTCAAGGTTTCACAGTCTGTTTAACATCTATAATACAGCAGAAGTTATCTGGCAGCATTCCATTACACACTTTTCTGACTGTGCACTGAGGAGAGAAAATGTGGAGCAAAACTCAATTCATTACAGTAATCAAGAACTTCATTGCTACGCCCTTGAGGCAGATTTCAGGTAGCTGTTCTTGATGATTATGATCATGCTGTGTTCGTATGGCTTTGAACCACGATACGACACAGCACATCAGACACCAATGTGGATCACTCCGAGGGAACATATAACAGGCTCATTGCGACACTTGAGTGTTAATAGCAGAATGAATTCTCTCTGACATGTTCCATTACTCAAGACACTATGAGTACACTGCATCGGGCTCTTGGCTGTGTAATCCTTTTAGGAGACAGACAGATCACCGAGCCCAAGGACACACTTTAATGACAACATACATAAGTAATTTAACCAGTGCAGCCACAAATTCCATATCAGAGGAGTTTATTTTCGACTGTTATCCATGATCAAGACCTGAGCTCTTGCTGTCCATCCATCTATTTATTTATTTTTTAATAGTGATTAGAGTTGTCGGTGAACTGGAGGCAATCTCAGCTGACTTTGAGCGTGAGGCATTGTACACCTTGAACTGATTGTCAGCCAATCGCAGGTCACCTATAGAGACTAACTGGTACAGGCACTCACACTGATGGGTAATTTCTACTTTTTTTTAATTATAGTTTTGGGGGATTTGGGGAAGAAGCATGAGTACCCGGAGAAATCCGACACAAGCAAAGGGAGAACACGCAAACGCCTGAAAGAAAAGTCAGAGCTGAGATGCTCAGAACTGGAAGGGAGCTGTACTCAGAAGAAAAGAATGAAATGAAACAACATCACATATGTCGTCTTCCAAGCTGGCTTTCCCACCAGTGCCGGGCGGGCCCTAAGCAAATTTCATTTGGACCCCCCACCCTGCCATAATTTGCTGTAAGAAAGTAAATCACATAAAAGAAGACAAGTGATGATTTGGAGAAAAATGGCAAGATAAAAAAAACATCATGTCACCATTTCAAGGTTTCACAGTCTGTTTAACATCTATAATACAGCAGAAGTTATCTGGCAGCATTCCATTACACACTTTTCTGACTGTGCACTGAGGAGAGAAAATGTGGAGCAAAACTCAATTCATTACAGTAATCAAGAACTTCATTGCTACGCCCTTGAGGCAGATTTCAGGTAGCTGTTCTTGATGATTATGATCATGCTGTGTTCGTATGGCTTTGAACCACGATACGACACAGCACATCAGACACCAATGTGGATCACTCCGAGGGAACATATAACAGGCTCATTGCGACACTTGAGTGTTAATAGCAGAATGAATTCTCTCTGACATGTTCCATTACTCAAGACACTATGAGTACACTGCATCGGGCTCTTGGCTGTGTAATCCTTTTAGGAGACAGACAGATCACCGAGCCCAAGGACACACTTTAATGACAACATACATAAGTAATTTAACCAGTGCAGCCACAAATTCCATATCAGAGGAGTTTATTTTCGACTGTTATCCATGATCAAGACCTGAGCTCTTGCTGTCCATCCATCTATTTATTTATTTTTTAATAGTGATTAGAGTTGTCGGTGAACTGGAGGCAATCTCAGCTGACTTTGAGCGTGAGGCATTGTACACCTTGAACTGATTGTCAGCCAATCGCAGGTCACCTATAGAGACTAACTGGTACAGGCACTCACACTGATGGGTAATTTCTACTTTTTTTTAATTATAGTTTTGGGGGATTTGGGGAAGAAGCATGAGTACCCGGAGAAATCCGACACAAGCAAAGGGAGAACACGCAAACGCCTGAAAGAAAAGTCAGAGCTGAGATGCTCAGAACTGGAAGGGAGCTGTACTCAGAAGAAAAGAATGAAATGAAACAACATCACATATGTCGTCTTCCAAGCTGGCTTTCCCACCAGTGCCGGGCGGGCCCTAAGCAAATTTCATTTGGACCCCCCACCCCCCCACCCCCCCTCACATCAGGTACGATTTGGAAATACAGGTCACCACTTCCATTTTTTTTTTTTAATATGCTTAATGTGAGGTAGTGTAATGATTCGCCTGACGTCTGTCCAGGCTGCATGTCGGGTCTGATAGTGACAGTGTGAATGTGAGGCTGTCTCTACATGAGCTCTGTGTAGTTGAGCAATCCAGAGTATAGACTGCTTTTCGCACCGAGTCAGTTGAATAGGCTGCCTCTCCCACGACCCTAAACAAGATAACCGCACAGACAATGGATGGATGGATGTTTGGCATGTTTGATTATGCCTCTGCTCAGTTGTGCTTTCTATCACCAGGTCATTCAATTTAGCAGGTCAATGTACCTGATGGTTAAATTTCTCAAAAAGAAGCTTCTCCCTTCTACTCGTTTCAATAAAAGTAGTATCAACTTTTGGAGAATGTAAAATGATGTACAATATCAGATTTGTTTTTGCAACCTGTTTGCTTCTCACCCCGGTTTCTGTCCCGGGTCCTGAAGTAATAGAGAGCGCCCCTTGCTGGCACAATGGTATCAATACAGCAAAGGGGAGTCGAGTACATGCAGTAGACGCCTTGAACTACTTGTGCAAAACCATAAATCGTATCGATTCGTTGTCATCATCAAACAATGGGAACGGGTATGTCGACTTTACTCACACAAAAACTCCGAAGAGCATAACTCGGACCCCAATCTCCAAAGCCAGGTCGCGCACGGTTTTCCGTCTGTCTGGCGATGACACGTTCATGGTGCTGACTCAACCCGTCAAGTGTGACGAACAAAATGTGGTTCTACGTCCACGTTGAAGTGTTTACTTGTGTAATCCGCTTGGGTGTTGAAGAAAACGGAGGAAAAAAAAAGGAGCAGTTCTCCCAATCACACGCCGCGCGCTTCCATCGCGACACCTGGAATCTTTTTTTGCCTTTCTTCGCCCGTCTTCGTTCTCTAAATCCCCACTTCCACTGCTCCCTTTATGTTCACTCCAGGGATTGTTTTAATTGGAGCTGTGATCGTGACAGCCCCCACTTTGTCAAGTTCAACTCTTCTCGCTGCACTCGATGAAGCTGACACGCACTGAGTTAGGGATGAGTGAAAGTGAGGTGTAAAATAAAAGTCAGCCTCTCTCTCTCTCTCTCTCTCTCTCACTCTCTCTGTCTCTCTCTCTCTCTCTCTCGCTCTCTGTGTCACACACCACACACACACACACACACACACATGCTCTAACACACAATCACACATGCACTCGCTCACTCACACACGCTCACGCAGTCACACGCGCGCACGCACACACACTCACGCACTTTCTTCACTCTTCTAGATTACAACTACGGTATATATGTTCACATGTATTTCATATTTAATACGCACACTAATCCACATACGCAGATTGTTGGAAATTAAAGGAAGGCTTCTGCACCTCATTCACTCCCAAAGGTATATTGATTTGTCATTTCACACTCCACACATTCAATGCCAGGTACATATTTATATTTTAGTTCGACAGTTAGGGTTTTAAAAAAGTCTGAAAATGGCTGGTAATGATTAGTTTCGCGTGTGGCTTGATTCGTAGTACAGTCGAACCTTGTTACAACGTATCTCAAGGGACACAATGAATCTGTGTGTTATAACGGTAGTTCGTTGGAATAATTTCCAATAAAATGACCATCAACTCTGATGTATAATACAGTGTGAACATTTATAGATGTAAAAACATGAACATGTAATACAGAATAATCATGTCGATTACAAATGCGTCAATACAGTATGAAAAAAACATTTATTCAGTAAATGAAAAGCGTCTTCTCCAGTTTAGGATGTGCCACACCTTGAAGCCGTTTACCATCATCTTTCAATCTGTTGGCCTCAAACTCTGACATGATTTTGTTGTCATTACGGGTGATTGTCAAAATCGTGGCATTACCAATTAATAGACTTGGCTGAACTAAATCTGGGAAACTCCCTTTAGAAAGTGAGAGACAATTTCAGCCTTCATGGACAGCGAGATTTGCTTCCGTTTACTAGACATGTTTTCAGACCATGTGCTCAGAATCACGCTGTGCTTCTGGAAGTACAGCAATGTGCGACCTAAGCAACAGAGGGTAAGCCCGCGCTGTATGCACATTTTGTTCATAAGCAACGTCGCGATGGCAGTTAGCTTTCCACGGTTCGTTGTAACAAAGACCTTTCCACTATTTTGTGGGGGAAAAAAATCTGCTCATTATCATAAAGTTTACATTATAAGGGTTTTTGTTGTAAGCAAATTCGGCAAATGAAAAATGATTTATGTGAAATTGGGACTTTGTGAATGTTTTAAGGGTGGAAACATAAACGGGTTACATTGAAAAGAGGTTGAACTGTAATTAATTAGTTTAGCTTGGAAAAACACATCACACACACGCACACTCACGCACGCACGCACACGCACGTTGCAAACATTTGCACGCACACACACGTTTGTAAATCAGGTTGAAATTTGTGCATTTTCTGGCATATTTTATGCATGCCACGTAAATAACAGCTTAATGTTGAGCTTAGTCCCAGTCTATGTAGGCTTTGTAATAACAAGTCTCATCTTGCCACATACAATTATTTTGCTGGTCGACCTCGTCAGCAATAAAGTCGACTAATCGGATCATATGTAAATGGCAGCATATCGCACCAGTAAGCCGATGTTTTTTTTTTTTGTCTTTTTTTATGGCCATCATTAGAGTAAGGCCTACATTCTTTATGTATGTACAAACTAAACATAAAGACAGTTAAGATGATAGATAGTACATCGACTCTGATGAAACGTTATGGCTTGTAACAGCATTCCTGACAAGTTTATAAATGATCGTGCAACTTAAACTGAAGGTGATAGTGTGGCCATAACATTTTTCACTGTAAAAGTTAAGTGTATGTTAAAATGGCAACAAAACAAATAAATACACATATTTTAAAAATGGACAACAAAAGCTTTACTTCGTTCTTATAATTTCACACCTGATGGATTGGCAGATGAATGACTCAACTATTTGTACCTGAGCAAATCACAAGTCAATTTTCCATATTATCACCCTTTTAAATTAATGGTAGTTCCATTCTTTTTACACTAGTATGACAGTAAACATATGAAAAAAAAACGGTTATGTAAGCTGCTGTGATGGTTCTTTCTATTTCCATTAATTCTGGATTTTGGACAGATGAATAGGTCATTGAGTTTAAAGATTCCATTGTTCATATACTGTGTTTGAAATGTTACCTTACTGTGGCTGAAAAAGGCCACTTTAATAGTATTATGTAGCCTGTTGGGTCTACCCAGCCCAGTATGTTGACTTCTTATGCCCTGGGGGTCTGCAAAGCCAGACCTTGATGAAGGAACACTGCCAGTTTACCTTTAGGCCATGAGCCGTGGCCAGCACTTTGTGGACACACATAAATATTTGATGTGCCATAAAACTTGTTTTCCTGCTGCCCTAACCAGTGGCATGTATAACTATTCGCATTGGCAGACTTAAAAAAAATAGACAACATTTCTATCCGGCCGAAATTAGCAATTGTGCATCTATTTTGCTCTTTGTTTAATGTGTCTATAAAATCCCCCATTAGCCAGGCTGCTGACTGAGAGAAATTGATGGACACATGCACACTGACATCTGAAATCTTTCTTTGCTTTCTGTGTAGAAGAAAAAAAAAAAACAATAGAACAAGAGCAAACATGAAATGATAGTATGAAGGTATTGATGGTTCTGATGATTCATTCACGTTGCTGACAACAACGTTGACAGAGACTTTCCAAACCTTAACAAGCATCGATACGAGAAGCTACATAGTCACTGCACATTTCTTTCAATCAATTCCTGCCTCCTTCCTGTCATGCCTTCCAAAATTAAGTCTGACCTACGGTGTAACTCTTGTTAAATATTTTAGAAAATCAAAGTGAAATTAAAATTACAAAGTGCTTTTGATCACTGTCCTTGCATTAGGGAGCATGCAAAATACAATGTGGAAAATATCCTCTGTGACAAAGTGACTCATCGTGTTGCAGAGGGATTAGTTCAATAGGCTCCTTCTGTTCATTATACACTGGCAAGTTATTTCTGAAGAGCACTTCTTAAACATGCTTTATGCGGAGTTATTTTTGAAGATGAAATTAAAGATTTGTACAGCCAAGATTTCATTTCATTGACATCCAAATTGGTATCCCAACACGACAGAATTCTCAGTCTTCATCCATCCATTATCTGAACTGCTTTTCCTCACAAGGGTCGTGGCATGCTGTAGCCTATCCCAGTTGAATTTGTGCAGTAGGCGGGGTACACTCTGAACTGGTCGCCAGGCAATCGCAGGGCACACATAGATAAACAACCATCCGCACTCACACTCGCACCTGGGGACAATTTCGAGTGTTCCATTCACCTGCCATGCATATTTTTGGAATGTGGGAGGAAACCAGAGTACCCGGAAAAAACCCCACACAGGCACGGGGAGAACATGCAAACTCCACACAGGAAGGCCGGGACCTGGATTTGAAGCCTGCACCTCTCGGCACTGTGAGGCGCATGTGCCAACCAGTCAACCACCGTGCCGCCCTTCAATCTTCATTTACTTATCTATTTTTTTTTGTCATTTTTTTCAAAACCCGTCTGAAAAGTTGCAGATATGGTACAATTAGAAGACTGCATTGTGCTTTAAATGAGGCCTGTGCCTTTCTACATATCATGTGTGCTCCCAAGTTTGTGAGGAGGGATGTAACACACAATCAACTTTGATCTGTTTGCTGCTGGAACTCAAACGCTTTCACAATTTGAAATCTACTCCTTTGGCAGCACTATTACATTTTTTTATGAAATAGTTTCAACCGCACTTGGAATTAGTTTGAGATTTATGTCATCAATAATGCCAATAATGATAATTATTGGCATAGACGAGACTGTGGGTCTTTAAGCGTATTACACTTGGAGTAAGTGAATATCAATGTTAAGGCCATCAGTGAAACTGATGATTATTTGAACTTTCATGACACTGTTGACACCCTGCACTCAATGCAATATTTGAGCTGCGGCAAGAATAGGAATAGTCATGCACGACTGCCATCTGTTTCGGGCTTCATCATGCGTGTGTGTGTGGGGTGTTTTTATCATTTTGGTTGATATAATGTTATCACTTCACCTTTCAATGCAAGTTGCTGGGCTACGGTACTTTTGTCGGAACAGTTTTATAGGAATAATATTTTACCGGCTCTAGAGGGAAGAGAGAAAGGGAAGCAGCACTAAAACAAATGCGCATCGATGATACAAATTGTATCCCAGGTGAAATATGTGTTTGAGACATAGACTTATTGAAAATAAAGATTGTAATCAGTATCTCAGTCCTATAATTACGGACAGCAGGTTATAACATATGAACTTATAAAACACAAAGTTGCTCCCTTAAATTACCCTGTCCAACATAGCAGTTTGAAAAACAAACCAAAAATCCACTATTATTTACCCAAAGCAAATCTTGTTACATGAAGAGTTTTATTGATTTACTCATGGCAGCGTTGTTGAGGACAGACAGTCTGCAGTTAAGTCTACACTCTGTGACTATTTGAACAAAGCACACATTTTGTATGAGACTAAGAAGTATGTGCACGAAGCAGACAACAAAGCTAGCTCCCTCTGCAGATTTTCTTCTCTCGTGCCAGCAAATTTTCATCTGCATTATTCTCTGCCATCTGTTATCATGAACAACAAAAATGACATTGATCGTAGAGCTAGGGTGTCAAATATATGGCCAGCAGGCTGGTTCAGGCCCACAAACAGGTCTAATTCAGTTGGCGAGATATTTTTTTTGAAGTATAAACATCAATAGGGACCAACTGACTAATTAGCTGGCCATAGTCGGCCCAAATTGACCACTGTGTATTCTATAGAAAATATGTATTTAATGAACATATAGAAAAAAAGATAATAGAAAACTACCATTATCTTCCTGAAAAATGGTATATGAATCAAGATTGTATTAGTCCAGTTGCTCTCCGGAGTGGGGATGATGGTACAGCAATAGTACTGTATAAAGAAGGTACCAATTTTTGGCCTCTAGTATTGTTATAATGAGGACCTGAGACGAGTACAAGAGCCACCGTTACAATTCAAT